CTGCCCATGGCAGGGGGTTGGAACTTGGATGAGCTTTAATGTGCCTTCCATCCCAAACCATTCTGTGATTCTGTGATATGAAAAGGTCCATGTTTATGAACCTCCACATCGTTTAAGTTTCAGCTCATCTGAATTGGCAATTTATTTTTAGTTACAGTTAAACCACTGTGATGATCTCTCATGTCCTGTCCATCATCTACACACACAAGTTTAAATTTTTAGCATTCATTTTTATTACACGAGATGTGTTAAATGCTAATTTGCTTACAAGCTTTAGATAGAAGGGAGAAAACTTCAAAGAAAATTGGTTTAGTAGCTTTGAAGTTGTATGTGTGTTCATTTGGAATATTCATGCATGCAGGAGCACTGCATCCTCAAATGATTCAAAAAGCCTGGAAATACGTCAGGATCCTTTTTGTCTAGGTCATCTTTAACCTCTAACTTCATGGTGCATTAGCAGACGTGGATTTAAGACCTGCTTGAGTGGTTGCTAGAGCTGATGGAAAGCCTCCTGTTGACTCCAGTGATGCTGTGGATGGTGGTCTTCAGAACAAATGTTGGTGTAGGGATGGAATTTGTTTTGGCAGTAAACTGTTCTGAACATTTTTATCAGTCAAAGACACCTTTTAAGGTGTCTAATTATAAAAAGAAAAGGCTACAATTCCTCCTAAAGCTTGGCATGTGTTAGCATTTTATAGTTGCTTTGTTTCATGAGAGACTTAATTAAAGTTGTTTGTAAGTGGGAAAAGGTTAAGCCATTATATATTGGGATTTACAGAAACTATTTAAAGTTTACTGCTGGAAAAAGGGGTTCAGAAAAAAAAGACACTGCTCTGTTATATGGTTTGAAATTAATTACTTGTGAAATAATTTAACTTGAGGAATATTTTGAGAAATAGTTTAAGAAAAAGTATGAAAACATGTTGATTTTCTTTTTATGCCAGCACTACTGAAATATGAAGTGGCATTATCAGCTAGCTTAATACATTGACGTAAAATGCGAGTGTGTGTGTATAAAGAGGCAAATTCACAGTGATTAGAAACCTTCACATTTGACCTTGCCTTTGACTGCTGGATGGTTTTAACCTTACTGCTGTGTTAGTGCCTTTCCCTTTAATCTGCAGTGTAAATTGCTGAATGTTTAAATATTGTGTGGTGAATCATACATGCTTTTGCATTCTGTTCAGTGCTGTTGCAAATATTAATATATAACCTTACTGGAAGCCTTTTTTTCTTGCTGGAGTGGTTTCTTTACCTTCCTGTATCTCACTAGGGAAGCATCATTGCTTCTTTACCTTAATGTCTGTCTCCAGTGCCGCTTGGCCATTGAGCTCCTCTTGTCAGAACAATCACCTCTTGCATTCTTTTCTTATTCCTTCTTTCACAGTTGCTTTGTTTTACATTACAGCACCTCTAACCATCCACAAAAGGTGGAAGTCTGTCCTTTTGGGTTGCTTCAGGACAGCAGGATTCTGAATTATTTTTCTGACCCTATGTTACCTTATCATAGAATCACAGAATGGTTTGGGTTGGAAGGGACATTAAAGCTCATCCAGTTCCAACCCCCTGCCATGGGCAGGGACACCTTCCACTAGACCAGGTTGCTCCAAGCCCCGTCCAGCCTCCCCTCTGTCAGTTTAAAGCCATTCTTTCTTGTCCTATCCCTTCAAGCACTTGTCAAAAGCCCCTCTCCAGCTTTCTTGGCAGCCCCTTTAGGCCCTGGAAGCTGCTCTAAGGTTTCCCTGAAGCCTTCTCATCTCGGGGTTGAGCAACCCCAAATCTCTCAGCCTGTGTTATATGGTGTATGACTTTGTATTTCACACCTGCTTCTTCTGGTTGGTTTGAAAATAAGTCAAATGATTATTTTCCCCCCTCTCTTTGCATATTGAGCATCTGATGCACACCAGGGCCAGCACAGAAGTGGTAACAGTGGTCAGCTAAGGGCAGAAGATGTCAGCCTGCTCTGACAGCTGCCAGCAACAGTATTGACCTGTAAACTCAAACTGAACCTGTGCAGTAGAGGGGAGTACGCACACTTCTAAGAGATGTGTTAACCAGACATAATGGTTGCATGCTGTCACATGGGGGCATATCCTGTTTCTGACCTTATTTCCTTGCTGTGAGTTGGACTCAATGATTTTTATGGGTCCCTTCCAACTTGAGATATTTTATGATTCACTGGCAGTGCTGAATAGACCACCAGCCCTGCTCTGAGACAAAAGAAAAGCGCTCTCCCCAAACATATATTGGGTTCTTGCGTTATTGGGCTGAGTCATCCTGGTCAGGGGTCCATCAGGAACTGGAGCTGGCACGAGGCTGGGAGCAGGATGGCGTGGCTGGAAGTGTGGACAGGGCAGGGAGCCATCACGTCTGCTGCCTGGGGAGCTGTAGCACAAACCGGCCCAGAGTGCTTCCGCGTAAGTCATTTATGTCCTGTCCTCAGAGGTGGTGATGACAATTTATTGTTTCATGGAGCTGTCAAGGTAAGTATTTTTTCTGATCTTGCAGTGGCCATGTGAGATTTTGTGACAAACAGGAGTGTTTATGGAGTGCATAAACAGTCCTGAGGAAAGGAGGAGACCAGCCTTATACCTGCACATTCTCCACAGTGAGCATCTGGATGCTGGGGTTCAGAGTCATCTCTCTTTATCTGCCTCAGCCTAGATTCCTTGTAAACCAGTTCCTTTACAGATAGCCCAGCTTAGTGGAATAAAAGGTCTGTTAACTCTCTGGGATGGTTTCTTTGAGGAGAAATGAGTTAGTTATCCCTTGTAGAGGCTGAGGGTGGGAAACCAAGTTGTTTAGTGATTCTGTGACAACGTGAGTGCAATGAGGCTGTGCCCGGATGGGGTTTTCTCAGCAGCAGTAGTGGCTTTTGGCACAACCATTTTGCAGAGCTGCAGGTAACTCAGTGAGTTGATCCCAATTAACACAACCTTGTAAAATGTAAAACCAGTACCTCCCCCTTGTGTTGATTTTTTTTTTTTTTTTAATGGATCCATCCAGGACTTGCTGCTCCTTAAGCCTGCAGTGCTGCTGGGATGACGATGATGGCTGAAGCTTCATCAGGCCATGAATGCAGGATTTGGCAGTTAGTTTTGCAGGAGCAGTGTGGACTTGGGGCTGTTCAGCCTGGAGAAGAGAAGGCTCCAGAGTGACCTTAGAGCAGCTTCCAGTGCCTAAAGGAGCCAACAAGAAAGCTGGAGAGGGGCTTTTGACAAGGGGGCATGGCTTTAACTTGAAGGGGGAAATTTAGATGAGATCTGAGGCAGAAGTTGTTCCCTGTGAGGGTGGTGAGGCCCTGGCACAGGTTGCCCAGAGAAGCTGTGGCTGCCCCGTCCCTGGCAGTGTTCAGGGCCAGGTTGGACAGGGCTTGGAGCAACCTGGTCTAGTGGAAGGTGTCCCTGCCCATGGCAGGTGGTCTTGGACTAGATGAGCTTTAAGGTTCCTTCCATCCCAAACCATTTTATGAGTTTTATGACTTTATACATGGTCTGGATCTTGTTTTGTCTCTTAAGCTGACTCAGTTGTCCCGCTCTGTAAGGATGTATATAAACTGCTCAGCATGGTGGTCTGCCTGGAAAAGCTGCTTTTAAAATGGTTTCCATTTTTAGCTGGATTAGTTCTGGGGTCTTGTTGTTCTCTGCAGCTGCACAGCAGGTAAGGGTGGTTCAGGAGTGCGGATGTGCCAGGCAGAAGCTGCTGGAACAGCTCAGGCTGCTGTGATCCTGCCATTTCTCTGACCTTACTCGCCTCTTACTGTCTTTGCGCTGGATCTGGCATGCATCTGAGTTTGTGCAGATCTATTTTGATGTGCTTAAGCTAACAGCAAACCATTTACTGCTTTTTATCATGTTGAAGTACGGTTTTGTGAACCACAGTGAGCCAGCAGAGCTGCTCAAGAGCTGCTTGGGTAGGGAGGTCCTGCTCCCAGCAGGCTGCTAATGGCACTTTATTCCAGCATCAGGGCTTGCTGAAGCACTGCAGGAGCTGGTTTAACACACAGCAGCAGTAGGAAACAGCAAAATGTCTTGAGTGGGTCTGGGCCACATGAATGTTTGAAGCACTTCAGCAAAGTGCTGGTGAGTACCAAAGCTAGCGTGGCAACTTGTGGGACCACGATAGCCTGCCAGTATCTCAACTTACATGGCTTTCTATATTATCTTTATTCCTACTATAATGCTGAAGAGGGATCAAGTGGTGGATTTCAAGTGTGCAACAGTCTAATCCAGTATTAGATCTGGCCATTGATGGTATTTAATGAGGACCATGTCATTGCTTAATTCAGTTCCATGGTTGCTTGATCCAGGGTACCCTGCCTGGTTTTCTTTTTTTTTTTTTTAAGTGAATTTATTGTAACTGTCATCACTGAAATTTAATTTCCAACACACACACACACACACACACACACACACACACACACCCCAATGCGATTGTTGTGTAGCATGAGCTGGTGCTGTCCAGTTTGCATTTTGGTGCTGGGATTTAGTCACAGGAATAAGCAGGAGGTACAGTTTGTCCTCCCATTCTCCAGGATTGTTCAGAACATCACTGTAGAATAAATCTGTTTTTCTTCATTGCTATTCAAATGATGTGTCGCAGACACATTGATTAATCTCTAAATGGGGTCTGCTGAGATTGAAGATAAGTACACTCATTTCTATTGTTCTAATTCTGAGCAGAGTCTGTTACAATAAAGGGTGCAGTATCTATTGAATTCATGCTGAAAGGTAAAAGCAATGCACAGATTCGACTCGTAGCATTGTCATGTGGATTTTTTCTTTAGCATCTTCTCTAAATCTAGAATGTACTCTTTATCTCAAGAAAAAATGTCGCAACCTGATAAATTCTGGCAACTCAGTGCAAGCCAGTAATTCTTAAAACATGTTTACAATTGTCTTTACAAAATCTGTCTTGAAATTCATTTTGTTGGGACACTGAAGCCCCAGGAAATGTGGTTTGTTTTGCCCTAACTTGCATTTTTTGTTCCACTTCTGCAGGAGTTTTTTGAGAATCCTGCTTTTCGTCCAGACGGCATGAAGCTCTACCCGACACTAGTGATCCGTGGCACTGGTCTGTACGAGCTCTGGAAGACTGGAAGATACAAGAGCTACCCCCCCAGCACTCTTGTGGATCTGGTGGCTAGAATCCTGGCCCTTGTCCCACCATGGACACGTGTGTACCGTGTGCAGAGGTGATTTACTGTGGTGGGCCTTGTATATTGATTTGTTGCACTTGGAGGGATTCTTACTTTAATTACAGCAAGATCTGACTCAGCCTTTTATTATTTTTCAGCCTTAGTCATTATTACACTAAAGATTTTTAAAACTGCTTCCTTTCTATTTGGGATGGGAAAGGCCAAATAGAATGAGAAGCTATTTAAATTGAACTGCTTCTGTAATGCACCCAGAAACTTGGAAGGTTTCTGGAGGCCTCACTGTTGCTACCACTCAGACAAGAGCATAGGATGCAGCACACATAATTCTCTAATGATACTGGTGGATAATTGCCTCTTGGCTGTGGGTGATGTTTCCTATATTTGTTGCAAGAGCTACAAGGTGTGTCATTTTATTTGGCTATAGAGACTTCCTTTCTTTCCCCGTGGGTATTGCAGGGTTTTCATAAATGCACTTATGATAATGCCATTATTTCCGATGCTCACCTCCCAGGACAATAGATAATACTTACATTTAGCGCTATATTTTCAGTGTGGAGTCTCCCTTGGACTGTTTTTCTTCTCTTATCTCCTAAATCTTTTTGATAATAGGAAGGGAGGCTATGACATACTTGACTATTTTCACATGTGCAGACAATACTCAGTTGGCTTCCAGCTATGTGAGCTGGAAACAGTGCCAATGCTGAGTTCTCCAAGAGCGTGTGGAATGAGAAAGCCTTGTGTGTTAGACATCACCTTCCTGGACTTCTCTAAGGCATTTGATTTTGTGTCCTGTGAGAAAGAAGCGTGACAGAGTGAGGATAAACAGTAAAACATGATAGAGAAGAAAGGTGGCTGAAGGCAAGAAATGCTGGGTAACATTGACGAAGAAAGTATGGACTCAGGGTTATTACTGGAGTTTCTTAAAACTCCATTTAAAGATGTTGCTCAAATCTTGCTCAACACTTTATTTATTTACAGTGACACAGAAGGTAACAGGGCATTGAGGAAACCTTGCAGGGCTGGAAAGCATCAGTGAAAAAGAGAAGGATGAACGAGTGGGATCTGGTGGTGGTGAAGCTGAAGTGATAGAGATGGGATGAGATGTAGTTTGGGGGACTTTGAGGTCAAACTCAAAGTCTTAGATTAGATATTAGGAAAAAATTCTTCCCTGTGAGGGTGCTGACGCCCTGGCACAGGTTGTCCAGGGAAGCTGTGGCTGCCCCATCCCTGGCAGTGTTCAGGGCCAGGTTGGTCGGGGCTTGGAGCAAACTGGTCTAGTGAAAGGTGCCCCTGCCCATGGCAGGGGGTTGCAACTAGATGATCTTTAAGATCACTTCCAACCCAAACCATTCTGTGATTCTATGAATCTGGGAGTGGGTTTTGCTGCAAACCATGAGGTCATCATGTGAAAATAGCAGAGGAAAAGTTGTAGTATCTTGCTCTGTAATATGAATAAGTCACTGGTGAATGCAGCTGTGAAAAGCATTTTTTTTTTCAGTGTAACACTTTTTAGAGATGAAGGTATTAATGCAGCAGCCAGACAAGGCTTTGGTAAGTCCTTGTCTGGAATAATCCCCATCTTCAAGAAAATGATCTGTGGAAATATGTGCAGAGGAGCACCAGTCTCTTTTTTGCAGGATAAATGGGGACATAAATGACTTCTGTAAATTTTTCAGAGAAGGAAAATAACCTTTTAAGAAATAGGAACATAGATGTAGGGAAAGAACAAGGTAAGAAGTGGCCTTGGATAAAATGAGGCAGGCAGCTGGGAATTTTGCGTCAGGATGAAGTTCTGGAGTAACCTTCTAAAGTTACCAAAGAGGAAGAGAAGAGAAATATGAATATGAGGAAGCTTGATTAGGCTTATGAATGTGATTGAGATACACAAGTGTGAGGTAACTGAGACATGGTTTCAGCAACCACGAGATCCTTCCTTCAAATCTTCATTAGTGTGAGAAACTGGTGGCTGTAGCTGAACTCTGAGAAGGATATGACACTGAAGAAAACAAACATGGCTCACAGTAAATACCTACTTGGTATTCCCCGGGGCTTTTCATATCACTTGTAGGAGCTTTAAACTGAAAGAGGGGAGATGGGATAAGATCTTAGGAAGAAGTCCTTCCCTGTGAGGGTGGGGAGTTGCTGGGACAGGCTGGCCAGAGAAGCTGTGGCTGCCCCATCCCTGGCAGTGTTCAAGGCCAGGTTGGACAGGATTTAGAGCAACCTGGTCTAGTGGTAAGTGTCCCTGCCCATGGTAGGGGGTTGGAACTGGATGATCTTTAAGGTTTCCTTCAATCCAAACCATTCCATGATCTTGTGATTATTAAAGGGAAAACCCCTGCCTTTTATCCCTGCACGTCTCCTTCATCATTGATTCCACTATAGATGCAATGGCCTGTTTGTTCACTGTATCTTCATATCTAATTAAACCAGATTTATTCTTAAAGGACATCTTGAGTTTGCAGCCTAGCAGGTCTTGTAAGGAACACAGGCCTGGAAATGTCTTTGCTGGTGTGCTGGTTTGCCTGAGATTGACTGATTTCCTCTGTCAACAGCAGCAGCCTCTATCCAGCTGTCATCCTGTTGTCAGTTATTATGTTCCAGTGGAATAGCTGTTTTCTCACTGACTGCCTCATTATCTGAAACTTGTTCACGGTGATTACAGATTTTTACACCTCCAGTGCAAAGTCCAAAAGTTATCACATTGATCTAAATTGCTTTCAGGGTAATTTTATGACTGTAGCAGAATAATAAACAAAACCAGATTTCTAAAAACTTCTGTGGACTGTTCCCAACACTGCTCCACTGGAGACAGCAAGTTTTTCCCTGTTCTCTGTTGCTGTCCCGGGACCTTTCCATCTCCCTCCAGTCTTCCATCCTTCACATCTTACATTTCAGGCTCTATTTCCACAGTTCTTTTGGATTCAGCTAGTGCCCCAGACAGCAAGTTCTTCCCTGTGAGGGTGGTGAGGCCCTGGCACAGGTTGCCCAGAGAAGCTGTGACTGCCCCATCCCTGGCAGTGTTCAAGGCCAGGTTGGACAGGGCTTGGGGCAACCTGGTCTAGTGGAAAGTGTCCCTGCCACAGCAGGGGTTGGAACTGGTTGAGCTTTAAGGTCCCTTCCAACCCAAACCATTGTGTGATTCTGTGAATCTGTCTCTATTCTCTATACAAGGTTTTGAGGAAACATAAGGGTCTCAGTATTTCTGTAGTCTGTCGCATGCTCATAAGAATCAGTTTAATGAATCATGGGTGAGTTGTCACTGACAAAACGCTGTAGAAGTCTTTCTGCGTCAGGAAACCATGTTAAATATGTTTTGGGTTTGTTGGGTTTTTTTTCTTTAAAATTGAGGTGCTGTTGATAATGGCTGGTTGGAGAACACATCTTCCAGGGTGTTTTGTGACTGTCAGGGATGCTTGCTACTGTATTTATTCTGCATGTTTGTGAATCTTATTATCACAGAAGCACTTTGGTGTGTGAGAAAGTCTGAAATGACAGGATTAGTGCCACACCTTGAGACTTTTTCTTTCATGGATCTCTGTGTTTTACATGAATGGTTTTTTTCACTCTACTGATGGGGGGATGTAGATATGAAGAAATAAAATACCTGACTCAACAGAGATCATGTAATAAGTCAGAGCTGAGAGCAGACTCTGAGGTCTTTAGGCTTTCACTGTGTGCTTCAAATCAGCTGCTTCACAGGTGTCCTAAGTAATGCAAAATGTTTGAAAAATAGAAGATTAAACAGGCCTTGTTGAAGCTTCTGGCAAATTGCACATTAACTTTAATAAGGTCAGGATTTAATCCCCTGTATGCCTGAATTTGTTTAGCATTTTAACAAGTCCTAAAAGCACTGGTAAAATGCTGTCTGGTGGCTATTCAAAATAGGCAGTTAGTGCATACACTCATGTTGCACACACAGTACTTATTTAAATACCCTGCCTTAATCTGAAGTGGGGATGGAAGGCTTGTTTCTTGCTTTATCTTTCTTAAAATGCTTATTTTCCACATACATATTTTAATTTAGTTTGCTCCCTAGTAGGTAGATGAGAGAGGCTCAAGCTACTGTATGTTGTAATCCACCTTTTATTTGCAGTACTTCATTTACTGTTTCATAGCTGACTCTGGATTTACCTGAAGACCTGGTACTGGAAGATGTTAGAATGTTTTATCTGTGTCCCTGAAGGGAAAAATACATCCTGCCTGACTTCTTGGAGTTGTTCCATAATTAGAAGAAAGGCGTTTAGTTAGATTATCACTGCAGATCTAACATACCCTGCTGAAAATGCTTTTCTCCACTAGTGTGTCCTGTAGTCACAATGTGAAGTGCTCATTTCCTCTAATTGAAGCTCTTTGAAGTATGTTGTGGTGGCTGTGCAGTGTCTTATTTACTCAAAGAAATCCACTGAATAAATGAACTGGGGAGTTAATCATATTTTGCCTCAACTTTTTGGCATGTGAGTGTAAGAGGTGAGGAATTTTTCACAGACTCTCTGGCTTTATATTAAAAAAGGCAGGGAAAATAAGGGAGAAAAGTAAAACATGGGGTCTCCATTAAACAGGGAGACCTTCTAGCAGCCTTCCACTACCTAAAGGGGCCAACAAGAAAGCTGGAGAGTGGTGTTTGACAAGGGCTTGTAGGAATAGGACATAGCGGAATGGCTTTAAACTGACAGATGGGAGATTTAGATGACATCTTAAGAAGTTGTTCCCTGTGAGGGTGGTGAGGCCCTGGCACAGGTTGCCCAGAGAAGCTGTGGCTGCCCCATCCCTGGCAGTGCTCAAGGCCAGGTTGGACGGGGCTTTGAGCAACCTGGACTAATGGAAGGTGTTGGAACTGGACAATCTGTAAGAGCTTTAAGATCCCTTCCAACCCAAACCATTCTGTGATTTTATGATTATGCTGGAGAAAGTTGTATCAAAGTGAGAGTGATGCAGAAATGGGAAGAGAATCCTGGAGTCCTGAAGCTCTTGTTTTCATTCTTAATGGTAAAGGAAAACTTTTCTTGCCCACCCTTTGCCAGTGTCTCACACTTCTAAAAGGCTGAAGCAGTACAAGGATCAGGTGTTTAGGACCCTTTAAGACCTTCCGTCTTTTCAGCTGCTGCTGCAAATAGTGTTAATGGGGGCCATAGTGTGAATGCAAGTCCTCCAGGAACTGAATGCATCAATTAATACATTTTACAGAGGTCATCAGGCAGCTGCTAGATGGTGATGACTTTCAATCACCACTGAACCAGCATAGATTCAGCTAATTATGTTATCAGTTCGCTGAACCATCACATTCTCTGTATGTGTGTTGTTTTTTTTTGTGATGTTCTGGTTTTTACTCTGTTGATTGAATCTTTATCATAGATAGAGAAAAATGAAGAATACTCACCTAGGAATACTTCAGCCCTGTTTTGAGACCCACATATTGTACAATTTACTGAGTATCTTTGATACTTGCGTATCCCTTATTTCCCTGAAGAAGATCCAAGGAGGTTTGGGTTACACCATAATGCACTTGGGTGGTGTGTTACTGAGGTGCCAGGGTGGAGTTTGAGCTGAGGAGGGAGAAGCATTTGAGATCACCAAATAGAACAGCATTAGATAGAAGGTGGGCATGGAGCCAATAATCTGCATATTTCTTTTTCAGCTTTATCTGGATGCATAAATCCTCTTTTCCTTAAGGGATGGTATCCTGCTTTCATAGTCTCCAGTGGGACTAACTGCCCGGGAAGGTAGTGGAGAGGCCTAACCTGATCTTGCTTTCAAATTTCATTTTAGTACCTTCCTTGGAGAACTGGAAGAAGGCGTTCTGCCATTTGCAGACTCATGATTTACATTCCCATAGGAAGGCCCTAGACCTTTGGGATGGGCTTTGCTGCAAATCGTTTTCTAAACAGAACTTTCTCACTTTTAAGCAGCTAGTGTCCCAGTATTAAAATGTAATTCTGATGAATTTTCCCTGATGTCCCTTCAACTCAGAGACTGCAGAAAGACGCAGTCTGGTTCCTAATTGCTGGTCGCAGCAACAGATACCATGGAGGACATCTGACCTGGAGTCACAGGCCCAGCTGGGTGTTCTTTTTTTTCCCAAATTTCCAAGTGAAGAACTGAGAGCAAAATTATAACCTGTTTCTTAGAATTCTAAAAGCCATCTTTTGTCTTTTTTTACTGAAGTAAAATCTGTAGCTTTTTCACTTTGTTTTTCCCTGCTCTTAGTTGTGTTTTGTCTGTGTTATTTCCTGTTCAGCCAAAGACTTGAAATGAAGGTAATTCAGATAAGTTCTGTGGTCTGCTGTTTGGGATCTTGGCTTAGGTGTTTGTAATGGTGTTTTATGGTCTATTGTCTGCTAATGCAGTTGTTTGTGCTTTTTGCTTTTGCTCTTTTACACAGAGATATCCCAATGCCGCTAGTCAGCTCTGGAGTGGAGCATGGGAACCTGAGAGAGCTTGCCTTGGCCAGAATGAAAGATCTTGGGACACAGGTAAAATATTTGTCAGTTGGTTTTGAGGGAGAGCTGCTTGATGACTTTATACAAAATAGCATAAAGGAAAGGAATGACTGGAAGGCACAATAGGAGCCAGGTTTACTGCTGAACTAAAATAATCTGCAAAGGTCTTAAAAAAAAAAGAAGTTAACAATTGAAAAGCACCTTGATGATCCTTCTGAAAAGCTGGTTTTGTTTGGCTGATTTTTAGTTTAGCACTTTCACCCTTTTCCTGAATGCACCTGGTAGCTAGTTTGTGGTATTCCATTTTTTAGCAGAATGAAACCCTTAAATCAGAGAGAAGGCAGGAAGGTTTCTTTTTAATTTATGCTATTAGAAGTTCTCCTTTCTTTCTTTTTCCCACGCATGCACTTACTTGACTGAACAACTGAAAGAAAAGCTCTTAGTCTGAGGGCAAGAGAGATTTCAGCACAAACAAATGAGACTTGATATTCTTCATATTTCTGTGGTCAAATAAAAATAGGAGTGGGGGTGGAAAGAATGAGGGGGAAGGAGGAATTGAGTTCATATTTGAAGTCAGAAGGAGGTACGTGTACCCTGTCTTGGGTTTTCTCAGAAGATCACTGCAGCAGCTGGCATTCACAGTGCATCTCATGGTCTGCTGTGACACTGCTCATTCTTTGAACCTTCCTGTGAAACCCAGTTATTAACCACAATTTGCAGAATCCTCCAGTAAAATTATGCTGTTCTTCATTCTTGGGATGTCTGACTTCAGTTTTGGTCCCCACTGTACAAAAAAATATGTGGCCAGGCTGGAGAGGGTCCAGAGAAGGACCACAAAGATGATCCACTGCACAGCTGTGTGAAGAAAGGCTAAGAGAGCTGGGGTTGTTCAGTCTGCAGAAAAGAAGGCTCAAGGGAGACCTTATCCCCATGTTCCAATGTTTAAAGGGTGGCTACAAAGATGAAGGAGACTCCCTTTTTGACAAGAAGTCACATGAAAAAGACAGGGGGTGATGGGCACAGGTTACTGCTGGAGAGATTCTGACTGGACACAAAAGGGAAATTTTTTCACACTGGGAACCAGCCACTGGAATAATCTCCCCAGGGAAGTGGTGACTCTCCAACACAGGACACTTTTAAGATTTGGCTGGACAGGGTGCAGGGCCATCTAGTCTAGGTCATGCTTTGCCAGGGAAGGTTAGAATAGATGATCCTTGAGGTCCCCTCCAACCTGTGATTCTAGGATTCTGTACAGGAAAACATCACATGAACCACATGCTTCTTGAGGCTATTCCAGAGGGCTTTAATTGCTTTGGTGTTCAGGCAGGGTCACATCCTCACCACAACTGTTCCATAAATCTGTATTGTGATTTAGTGCTCCCTCTTTCTAGCTCACCTTTTCTTAAAGATGTTTTAAGGCATTACTGCATGCAGCAATATAAAGTCTTCAGCTACTGGGTTTGTGCCTGTAGTCCCACACCAGCTTGTGCTCCTGACCTGTATTTTTGGTATTTAACATAGATCTCTTGGCTACGTGTAGCTCCTTTACTGCCTTTGCCATTTCACTTGGATCTTGTAGTTGCTGTGCAAAAGATCAGAAAAGAAAAACTCCAGACTGTCTTCTTCCGGCTGTGCTTTCCATGCCCCTTGATGTTTCCTAAGCTGGTGCCCTGGACTTTCTCCTTAAATCATTCATCCCAGTCTCTCTCCAGTAACAAGCCAGGATTTGGCAGACAGCTTTGCCAGCCACAGAAGCTTCCATCCCTCCTGCTGACTTTTCACTTCAAAACCAGGCAGGGGAGGCAATCTCCTTGATGCAGCTGAGCTTTTTCAGTTGAGCTTTTTAGGGCTAAGTGAACACTTCTTGAGTTTGATACTGAAACCACATAATTTGATCAGAACCTGATCGAGACCAGCTGGGGAAGCGGGGGTAGCTGATCCATGGCAGTAAGGGCAGAGCTGAACCATTGAAGAGCTTGTCAGGCTGGTAGTCATTGCTTTTAGAACCAAATCTGTGGATATATCTACTGTGCAGGTGATAATAGATTTTAATGTAGTGAGGCAGAAACACTGCAGCTGGTGGAATGAGGAGCCGGTATAGCTTGAAATGTAAGGTACTGTTGTGGTTTTGTTGTGTCATAGGAGAAAATTATATATATACCTTGTCCTCTTGTCTCTTAAAGAGAGGAAAAGGCCGAGGCAAGAAAGGGACTTAGAGGAATCATATCTTTGCCAGCTCTGGCATTTCTGGTATCCATCTCTGGGGAATGGCTTAGTGAGGAGCACGTTAGAGGGACAGGATCAGTATCAGTTATGCCAATGCTGCAGCTTGTGTCTATGGTTGCTGGAAAGAAATTGTTCTTGAAGGGCCTTGTTGTGGAACCAGATGCTAGCCTTTATGATTGCCGGCCACTGAGTGCAAGTGGAGATACACCACTGGGAATTTTTAAGCAGCATCCCAGAATACATTGCCCTTCCTTAGTTCCTCTAATTGAAGAGTGGATGTTTCTTTGTCTCTTACAGTGCTGTTTCTGTAGCTAAGAAATTGTAAAGCAGAGATGAATTTGTCTACTCTAGAATTCTGGTATGACAGTGAATCACAGAATGGTTTGGGTTGGGAAGGACATTAAAGCTCATCTAGTTCCAGCCCCCTGCCATGGGCCACGAACACCTTCTACTAGACCAGGCTGCTCAAAGCATGTCCAGCCTTGCATTGAACACTTAGTCCTGGAATCCTGCTTTTACCATAGCCCACTCTAAAAAACTAACACAAGCCCACCCTTTTTTTTCTGCTATTTGGGAGATGGTTGCTTTATATTGATAATGGAATTAAAAAGCATTCAGAGGAGGACAGGGCATGAGATGGAGCTGTGCTTGTTCTGGGTATTCAGAATTTCTGTGTGAACTGGTTTTTTGCATCCTCATCTGCAAGTCTGGCTTTTCAAAATCCATGGGCAGGTAGGTGCTCTTGCTGTTAGACAAATTTTACCCTGTTGGTGGAGGTTATCTTCCTTCCTTCCAAATACAGCAGAGCTAGTGGAATGAAACTAGCTATCTAGACTGTCTTAGTCTAGATATTGTAGACCAATGCCCAGACTTTATAGTTTCACATATAAAAAGTTTGAAAGAAAGCTAATGATAAAAGCAGTATTGTTCTCCTCAGTAATGATCTCTTAGTCTTCTGGTTTGCAGAAAAACCTCTGAAATGCAAACAGATGTAAGCAGTTACCTACCTGCAGCCCACAAGGCCTCCTTTCCTGGGTTAATTTCATGACCAGGTTAAGTAGTTAATTTTAATGTTTTTAAGCTACTTGTTCTGAAGCCAATTACCAAGTTTCCAGCCATTTAGAAAACTGAAAAGGAAAACCAAACACCGGTCCAGTAGCTTTTTACAGTAAAGACAAACATCCTTTAGCCTTATAGCTAAAGGATACACCTAAGCCTTATCCTTTAAAGTCTATGTCAGTGTTCTCTAGGACTTCCGGATCAGACCCCTTGGTTTTATAAAGGTATTTTATGTTGATGTGAATGAGTGCTATTTTTTTTTTAAGGTAGGTCTAATCTATGTATGATTCTATGAAACAAGCATTTGCAACTCAGCTGCTTTGGGTAAAACTCTTGTGGCTATACTTTGCTGACAAAAGTTGGGTTAAGTTTAGTGTTGGACTTACAATAAACCCGCTAAGATGTGCATGCATGTAGTCTTTCACAGTAGGAGTGATCATACTGTTACAGCCCTTTGCTTACATGAATGGGTGCCAAATCACTCAACTTTGATTGAATTTGTTGAGAAGCACAAAACTTTATGCAAGCTATAACCTATCTCTCAAGCACTGAACTTGGACCCTCATCTCCTCCTCTGTCTGGCTACTAAGGAAGGGAAGATTTCTTCTGGCTCTCTTTGTTTTCTGCATCATTGGTCCCAACCCTCAGTGATACCTCTGTGGATGCCAGAGCAGTGTTCGCTTTACTTTATGACATTTGGACAGGGCTTCTTCAACAATTCTCATTTAAAAGCAAGAAAAGGGGTTGCCGAGATTCAAAATCTGTCCATTTAAGGACTCTTGGGTGCTTTGGTGTAGATTTTACCAATGTTAGACTTTCCCAATGAAGGATAAAAATGGATTATGCGAAAATCTTTTTGTTTTTTCTCTGTTACTTTTCTATATGCGTTGACTTTGCCTCCAGACCCTGCTGCTTGTGAAAAAGGGTACAATTCCTCTTGAGCCATAATGGTTGCTTAGTGAATTGATTTTTGCCAGCATGTCTTTCCATTTAGCACTGAGACCTCTTTCTGAGGTGTATTAAGAATGGATCGGTGAGCATTTTTGTTTTGAAGTCTACCCATTTGAAATTAATCTCTGAAACTTCATGCTCTTTCAGTTTAGTTTTGAACCCAATGGGTTTCTGGAAATCTGTATGTTGCAAAGCTTGATGTTTTTCTCCTATGTAACTTTTTTTTCCTCCCTTTCTTTTCTTAGTGTCGTGATGTAAGGACAAGAGAAGTCGGAATTCAAGAAATTCACCATAAAGTGAGACCATATCAGGTAAGATTTGTCTTTTGGGTTTTTTTTGTCTAGGAGCTTCTATCAGACACAATTTGTTGTATGTGTTCAGTGTGGAGGCGTTGGGGCCCATTTGTTGCACGTCCAATACTGTGGTTTGCCTTTGTAGGTGGATCCAATTTTCCATTTATTTTCTCAGCAACTTTGGATGTCTTTTGTTTGAGTGCAGTCACATGCTAAAATTTATGGACCACCATGTTCAATAAACTGACTGCAGCCAGCAGTTACTTTGGTATTTTCACTGCTGTAACAAAATAACTGCCTTCCCTCTTCTCCCTCCTCATTATAAATTTGGATCTAGAAAATACCAGTAACACCGTGTGTGTATGCTGAACAGGAATGACTGTTTAGCAAGACGACTTTACATCCTTTGTGAATGTTTATATAGGCAAATGGTTTATGTGTAAATACACTTCCACACGTATATGTGTGTTTATGTGAGTGGATCCATTTAGCGTATGACCCTTATGTTGTGTTTCTTTTCTAAAATAGTCCACAAAAATATTGGTATGCTTATTTTGTAGAAAGCAAAATATTCATTGCTGAACTTCAAGCATCCAGTTTAAGAAGCTAATCCTTCAGTTCACTATAGTCACAAGGAGGGATTGGTCCTTCTAGGGGGTTGTCAGGCGGTCCCTGGCATTCAAGGAGATGAGCTTGCGAATATCACACAGGGTCTGATTCATCTTACTATACATGTATGCTGTGGCTAATAAGTCATACCCTCGAAGTATGCTGTTCCTTTTCCTTTGCTGATGTTAGGGAGGGTCTGAAACAATTCTGGAGTTTGTCCATCATATATTGCCTTTACTTTCAAATAAGAATTCTTTGTGCCAGGCAGGCCAGGCAGAAGATACTCCTACTCCCAGTTAGCAACCCAAATCAGAAGGACACTTACATCTTTCTTCTCAGGTGCAATGGGCACATACCCACTTTCTAAAATGTGAGCCACTAAACTGGGGTTAGGCTTTCTCTGTGTCAGCAGAGAGCGAGCGATTCATAGGATCATAGAATCACAGAATGGTTTCAGTTGAGGGAGACCTTATCATCTAGTCTAGGAGACTGTCATCTTGTTCCACCCCTCTGCCATGGGCAGGGACACCTTCCACTAGACCAGGTTACTCAAAGCCCCATCCAGCCTGGCCTTGAACACTGCCAGGGATGGGGCAGCCACAGCTTCTCTGTGCTACGGCCTCACCATCCTCACAAGGAAGAACTTCTGCCTAAGATCTCATCTCAGTCTCCCCCTTGGCAGGTTAAAGCCATTCCCCCTTGTCCTGTCCCTATAGGCCCTTATCAAAAGCCTCTCTCCAGATTTCTTCTCAGCCCCTTTAGAGAAGCTGCTCTAAGGTCTCCTCGGAGCCTTCTCTTCTCCAGGCTGAACAAGCCCAGCTCTCTCAGCCTGTCTCCATAGTAGAGCTGCTCCAACCCTCAGAGCATCTCTGTGGCCTCCTCTGGACTTGCTCCAACATCCTCCTTATAATGGGGCCGAAGAGCTGGATACAGGACTGCAGGGAGGGTCTCACCAGAGCAGAGGCAGAGAATTTCCTCTCTCACCCTGCTGGTAACAGTGCTGGTGATGAAGCCCAGGATAATTTATATAAATGTGTAACAATCCCCAATAAATAATCTTGTTCTTACCAGATTTCTGCAAGAATTGAGGCTGTACAGACTCATTTGGACGTAGGCCATGCAGCCTTTATGCTCTGCTCTTGTTATCTAATTTGCGGTCATCTCACAGAATATCTTTCCAAAGATGTCTGTTGTCAGTGGTGCTAATCTAATTTAAATTGTAAATTCCTTGAGTAGTTAGCAAATAGCTTATCACAGGGTTTTCAAAGCAATGTTATGTTGAAAATTCCTTTTGTTAAACTCATCCATCTGAGTGACAGGAGGATGTCATTATGTAGTCTTTGCAAAATTTATCATGACAGCAAGCAAGAGAAATATTCTGAAGATGGTATAATTTTTCATGCACTTTAGACTAATGACAAGGTATGATGTTGTTTTTGGCTTCGTAAGTAAACAGCACATCTTCTTGATAAGAGAGGCTATCATGTCAGATCTAAAATAAATTAATTGCTTGCTGTAATCACTTATGCTTTATGCATCTTCTTTCTGTTAAGGATCAGTAGGCTGTATGTATTTTCATAATGGTGATTACATGTCTGCTTTTAAAAGTATTTCAATTTTTTTTTAGATCAATTTGAAGTAGATTACTTGCCTATAGCTGGTTATTTACAGAGCTGTCTCCAAGCTGCCTTTTCAATTAGTGGCTTTTCTCCATTGCAGTGGAAGGTACTTGCTTGCTCTCAGAGTGGTTAAGGCTGCCTAGTGCTATGTAATAGCCTTAAAAATGCTCTAGTGAATTGTTGCTGTAAAGAGACATTCAGAATGACAGTTTTTGAAAGGCGAGGGGCAATGACAGCTCTGTTACAGATATGAACCTACATTAGTGTTAAAGCAGAAAGTGTAAAATGCAGAAGCTTCTGTTCCTGCAAAGCAGGGTTGTATCAAGGTAATGATCTCAATATAAAGCCTTCGTGGGAATAAGGCGGTTTTTTAAGCTGGTTTAGGTTGGGTGTAATCTGAAACTGGATTTTCCCCTTTGTTTGTAAAAGTAAGTTTAAAACAGGCTGTGCCAGAGGTTTGATAGGGTTGCATACTGAAATGGTGATCCACGTTGATGAGGGTTATCCTTACCCAGCGCACACGATGCTTACAGACAACGAACTGCTGCTGGGGACTGTGGTATGCTGCTGCCCATGGCTGTGCACCAGCTGACTGGGAGGTGATTCTGGATGGCTTTTGCCTCATTTATATCAGTATCCCAGAAGAAAAAGGCTTTGTAGATCTCATGAGTTCCCAAAACCCCTTTGAGGGGGATTTATGTATTGTAGGGACTCTCTGTGCCCAGGGAATTGGGGAGAACAAAAAACCCAGGAGGGACTTTTCTGAGCGTATGAGCTTATCTGGTGCGTCCTTATGGTGCTAAGAAGATGCACATAATACAAAACCTCCTGGTAAAGGTTACTGTAGTCTTGCTTTGTCTACAAGTGGCTTTCAGACTGGCGATGGGCATAATGCAGCATCTAGTCCCTGCTGGAGGACAGGCAGTGGAACCAGGCTTTGTACTGGTTCTGTTTTGTCCTCAAGAAGAAACAGAGAGTTCTCCAATCTTGCCATTTCAAACTGCTAGTATAACAGTGCTTAATAATATTTTTAGGGGCTTTTTATAGATTAGCAGGAAACTTTACCCTAACTGCTTTTTCACATGCAAACCTAGCTGAAGAATACGGGTATTTTAAAAATCTCTTTTCTTTTCCTGCACATTTCCATTTTACTAGTGGTGTTATGTACTTAATTGTAGATTTGGATCAGTGTGTGTCAGCTGTCCTGACACACAAGCTGGAGCGGAGTTACGCTCTCAGAGAACTTGGCACATCAGTAGATGTCTGCTTGGGTGCTTACCCTGCGAGCTGTACATCAGCGTTGAAATGAGTCTTGCTTCTGCAGTCAGCAAGGGATGTAATTGTGAGCTGCGTTCGCCCAGGCTTTGTCATGGAGTAGAGCAGGCAGGCGACAGAATCCCGTATGGCTTTTCTATAAACAAATCTTTAATTCATGGATTTCTGGGTATGAGAAGGTTTGCAAAAAAATACTGAGGTCCTTTGCTTTAGTTTGTAGTAATACTGGGAAAGCATGGCAAGATACAGAGTCACAGAATTGTTTAGGCTGGAAAAGACCCTTAAGATCATCAAGTCCAACCATTAACCCAGCACTGCGAAGTCCTCCACTAAACCATGTCCCCAAGCACCACATCTGCACATCTTTCAAATACCTTCAGGGATGGTGACTCCACCACTGCCCTGGGCAGCCTGTTCCAGTGCTTGACAACCCTTTCAGGGAAGAAATTTTTCCTAATATCCGGTCTAAACCTTCCCTGGCACAATTTGAAGCCATTTCCTCTTGTCCTATCACTTGCTGCTTGTAAGAAGAGCCCAACCCCACCTCACTACAACCTCCTGTCAGGTAGTTTTAGAGGGCAAGAAGGTCTCCCCTGAGCCTCATTTTCTCCAGGATAAAACCCCCCAGTTCCTCACAGGACTTGTGGTCCAGACTCTTCACCAGCTCCATTGCCCTTCTCTGGAACCCCCTCCAGCACCTCAATATCTGTCTTGTAGTGTGGGGCCCAGAACTTAACATAGGATTTGAAGTGCAGCCTCACCAGGGCTGAGTACAGGGGGTGGTCTTACAAGCCAGCCTTGTATCAGCCTTGGCCACCTGGGCGCACAGGAATCAATACACCTATATGGAGGAATCAATCCTATCCTGTACCATCAGGATAAATGTTAGGAACACCAGTACAGTGCTGGTGCACAGGGCATCTGGCACTTGCCATACATGTTTAAATTCCTAAAGTTAAAGGAATCTGTCAGAACAATAGCAGCTGTACCTATGTGGTGTCTTTAGTTCAGACTAGGGGTGTGCTTTTAAAGCAAATCCTCTGATTGCTCCTCACTTTGAAAGTATCCAGAAGCACAGCAACCTGAGTCCTTTCAGGTTAATTTAGAAAGTGCCTTCCAAGAGTACACCTAATGTACGCCAGCTGGTGATGGATGCCTGGTTCATGGCATGTATTTAAGCTCCACCAACATACATTATGTTGTCATCAGGCTCTCAATACTGCAAACTCTTGCTGCTTCTCCTCTGTTGAACCAGGCAATTTGGGAAATAAATTCAGCCTTCTTAGCAGCTGGTTGTTAGAGGTGAGCAAGGGAATACCTACAGAAAGGATGGGCAGCTATGTCAGCTCTACCATATCAACTCAAAACACGAATAGAGTGACTCACTGTGTCACCAGATATGTGACGTTATCATCGTCAGCTACAGGTTGCATTAAATTAACTTGGGGCTAGCTCAGCTACATATAAACACAGCTCCCGTTATATGACATCAGATAAGGGAGTCATGTCTCGGGTCTTGTCACTGCTTCTTGATGATGGTAGGTCATAACTGTCTGAAACAGAAGGTTTTTATTCTTCCTGCGCTCTCATCCCCTAGCTGCTCTTCATAGCTTCTAGGTGCTCTGCAGAAGTAATTTTTTCTACCCAAGTGTGGTCTTTATTGTATTCTCTGTAGTCAGTCCACTCTCACTTCACTTTCCCTTCCACTTATTGTACTTCAGACGTGACTTTGGATTATTATAACAAATAGCATTTGAGGCAACTTACAAGTTGTTACTGGTCAGTTCTCAGAGTACTTTTCTGGATGATTTTGGTGTCTTCAGAACTGCCTGAATAAGTAAGAAAATTTCCTGCTGATTCTGTAAAGCACATGTAATGCAATATTCACTCAACACCAGCTTTTTCAGATCCACTCCTGTTGCACTACAGTTTGCTCATGTTGGTAGAACTTGTGAGGCGCCAGAAAGTACTACTTGGTAATTAGTAAGGATGTTGACTGCTGCTTAGAAGACCCATATTCTGTAGATATCTCAAGCCATTTCCTTTGCAAAGCAGTAGAGACAAAGTCATAAATGCAGGTTTAGTTAAGGCAGATGCAAAACTACTCCTTCTAAATTAGCAAATTTGTAACTGAATTTCAATTAGATAGTCCCTTGGTTAGAGGTGAGAGTTGTTGCTCTCATTGATTTTGCACTGGTTATGAAACTCAAGTAACTAAGAAACGTGGAGTTTAGGTTTCTGACTTACAAACATGTAACCACATGTGTAACTAGCCCTTCTTGAAAACCTACAAGTAGGATAGAAGACTAGTTCTGTCTCACTGGCAAATACATTTTTATTAAGGTAGTAGCATGTTTTGTCTTTAATATGACTGCAGTAACAGCAGTTCTTAGCCAGTACTGCTAAAATCCATCTAGAATTAAATTGGCCTTTAAGAAAGCACTTCATGTTTTCTCTGAATCATAATAGTTTATGGACCCATGAAATTGGTTTTGGTCTGTTCAGTTTGTTGCTTTAAATATTTTTAAGGACATTTTCCCTTTCTCTTTTCCTCTTTGTATTTGTCCTCCCTTCTTCTCTTTGACCAGATTGAATTAGTTAGAAGAGATTACGTAGCTAATGGTGGATGGGAGACCTTCCTCTCCTATGAAGATCCAGAGCAGGATATTCTCGTTGGCCTTCTACGACTGCGGAAGTGTTCGGAGGAGTCATTCAGACCTGAGCTGAAAGGAGGTGTTTCCATTGTCCGGGAATTGCACGTGTATGGGAGCGTTGTCCCTGTAAGCAGTCGGGATCCTTCAAAATTTCAGCACCAGGTACTCCAAGCATCTTTATTTTTCATCTGTGCCTCTTTCTTGCACCTTTCTCCCCTCTCCCTAGTATAATGGGAGAAGAATTTTATTATCTGAGATTCATTCGGTTGCTTTGAATTATAGTCACTGCAATAGAAACAGAATTGGATTTGAGCCCCTTCTTGACTTTCACCTGCCAACATCATGCTGCTTCTGAGTTTTTACTAGTGTGATCATGTTTAGGCAATTGCAACTGCTCTGAAATTACAAAACAAAAAAGCACATCTGAACGCTATCAGTGTTGCTTCATGCCTGTACAATACAAGCTCATATATGCTGCTGCTAATTTGACTTTCCAATATCGAGCATCGTTAGTTTGGAAGTTTCTTTCCTTTAATAACCTGTACAGTACATCAGACTTGACTTCAGACTGAGTAAAAACAAAACAAAGTGGATACCTTGCAGTGCCTTCCAACCTGGTGTTCTGTGATTTTATGATTCTGTGATCCATTGTGTCTTTTTACTTCCTTCTAAAATTGATCATGTTCAGTAGATGACTTTTCCTTCTGAAATCTAAAATAATCACAGAATCATAGAATGGTTTGGGTTGGAAGGGACCTTAAAGCTCATCCAGTTCCAACCCCTGCCATGGGCAGGGACACCTTCCACTAGACCAGGTTGCTCCAAGCCCCATCCAACCTGGCCTTGAACGGTGCCAGGGATGGGGCAGCTACAGCTTCTCTGGGCACCCTGTGCTAGCACCTCACCACCTTCACAGTGGTGAGACATATTTACATATGGGAAGGTGAAGTTTTATTTGGTACTACCCAGTTTTCTTTCAAAGATACATCTATTAAATATGTTCTTCCTACCAAAATTAGAAATCCAACTTTGATTCTGAGACATTTATCAGTTTGGGTGATGTGGTGATACTCCCAAGTAAACTCCTTCAGTTGGGTCAGACAATTTTTTGCTTCAGACATGCTTGTGAGACTATTTCACATATATATTCTATAGTATGTGGGGAATGGAGTGGAAAACTGTGTTTGTAATTCCTTGCAGTGTCTCATGAAAATAGCACATTATCCTTCTGCTGCATGTGACATGCTGTGGCTTGCGGTGAGCAAAAATGTGAATTAGATTTTGCCCTGGTAGGTTCTGAACCTTTAGACCGAGCTTTTTAAAAAGCAATCAGTTTGTCCTCTTTGCCAGAAGTGCTCAGGGCTGATGTTTTAAATTAACATCCTTGTATTTATTAGTCTTTCCCTGAGTATACGCATTAAGATGCAGTCCTGCTAGATGCTGATGATGTGTGACCACAAGGCAGTGTTTGGGGAGGTGGGGAGAGAAGTGGGTATTTCCACTGTAAAATAGTTAACAGTTAAAAATGTAGGAAGAAAAAAAAAAAATCATCCTAAGTATGTGGGGAAAAAAAGATATTTTTTTTAAGAGGGAGAAAATCTATTGAAAGTAACCAACTACAAACATTAAAATAGGCTGCAAATTGAAATTTCATGGCATATGACGCGCTCATGTTCATTCGGAATAGTCTGTGTTCAAGAGGTTAATCAGAAAATGTTCTTCACAGTTGTGAGGGCAATTTCTGATTAGAAGGATGTTTCTGAATGAAGATTTCTGTGTGTTATTTAAAAATGCCTGTAAGCGTTCAGTGTTTTTTAGAATTAAATCATATCTGCTTCAGTGTTGCCGCAGCCCCATTCTGTACATCTTGTCAGAAAAGCAGATGAACAAAGAGCCAAGTATAATTCCCATCCTAATGTTAGGAGCTAATTAATCCAATCAGTTACTCCAAGATATATAGGACTAAGGAAGTTGTTAAATAGAGTGGAAAGGCTATTCCCTTCTTTTGAAGTATTTATCATGATTCCAGTAGCACTCCTGCTGTGCCAGATTTCCAAACATAAACATAGGTGTGGATCTGGTCCAGAATGTTAACATGTTCATCTGCAATTCTTTTTGATTTGGAACCTCCTGTGTCATGAGCTGAGCCTAGAGAGCGATACAAAGCTTGAGCCTAGCATGACCTCCTGCAGGGGTCATGCACCAGTTTGCTGTAGCCTTTGTGGGTAGCCCTGACAAGCCCTATGGTTGCTGCCTGCCTCAATTTTCATCCTGAAACAAGCACGATAGCAGCTCTTGACTCATGGAGAGGTTGTGGGAATAAAGTCTGAGGCGCTAAGGCTGGTGTATATCAGAAAAGTGAACAGCAGCAAGGCCCATCTCTGGTCAGTAGTGTCTGGCCACATCCTGGTCTAGTGAAAGGTGTCCCTGCCTTTGGCAGCGGGTTGGGACTAGATGGGCTTTAAGGTCCATTCCAACTCTAACCATTTGAGCTTACATCCCTCATCAGAATGGCACTGGGTGTTCATGCGCAGACCCTGTTAAATTCACAAGCACAAACCCAGCTCTGTTATGGTGGGTGATTATTGTTTAGAATTGGTTATCTCTGCCAGATAGGCTCATTCAGCACCAGGAATTATAGGATGCCTACCAAGTCGACCTACCTTCAGTGGATTTAACTTCATTCTGTTCCCTCCATTGAGAAGCAGTCAGACACTAGAACTGCCTATGAATAATTTTCTGATAGAAAAAAAAACAAAACACTGAGAAAGCTCCACTGTAAAGCTTAGTGTTGGTGCACTTCTTCTCAAGCCCTCTCCTGCAATATTCAGCAATATTCCTGATCACAGGATCATTCCTCTGAAAAAAATATAAGTCTTTTGGAACTGTACTAATGCTTACATTCTGAGCTTGCTTATGTTTTCTAATTTTTAGAGAACTTACCTTTTTTTCCTGTTATTTCTCCCATTATAGGGATTTGGTATGTTACTGATGGAGGAGGCAGAAAGAATAGCCAAGGAGGAACACGGGTCATGGAAAATTGCTGTAATTTCAGGTACCTTTGCTTGATACCTTTTTATATATATATATAAAATATATATATATAAAATATATATGTCTCTCTTAATCTGAAAATAAACCCACTGCAGCCAGCACCACTGCTGTGAACATTCATCATATTAGGAAGAAAATGAGCATCAGCAGATGTTTCTTCTTAATGGAGTTAAATTCCATTGTAGCTTTGTCCAGACAGTACTGTTATTATAAGCAGCATACTAGAGGATGCGCTGCAGGGAACCATCCTGTTCTTAGTGCTGAAGGAGACAGACAGCATGACCATGGGTGTCTTCCTCCACCAAACACTGCTATTTCCAACCCTGCTGATTTCACCCCATCGCAGGTTGTTATTGTCGAGGGCTGCTTTCCAGAGTTTATAAGGATGGAAAATTGCCAGCCTCCATTTTAGCGTCTTTCTGCAAGTACTGTCATTAGGGGGGACAGATGTGCTTTTAGGATACATTAAGTATTATCATGAAGAAGGGAGCTATATAAGAAAGAGCTGAAGCCCTTTCTCCTAGTTCATTTTCCAGGCATTGTGGCTAAGAAGAGAGGCATCAGTTCATTGCATGTGTGTGAAGTCAAGGTCAGGACTGCCTTTGTATCTTAATTTGTCTTGTATTAGCAGTTATAGTAGCCATAGAAAGGTTTTACAGGCATAGAGATCTATGACTGGGGAAGCTGGCAAATTGCATTAAAAGAGAAACTCTTGTTGGTGTAAGATTAATGTATGCTGGGGAATTTAAATGGAATAGCTATATTTTAGACCTCTCAAATAATAACCTTCTGCTGCTGGAAACCCCTGAAAAGCAGAAATCCACAACTTTGATGAGTGCAGAAGCAAAGAGTTGTTCTATGTGTTTCTGGCTCTGTAATGTCCCTGGATGTTGAAAAGCCAGCGTGGGCCGTATTGACAAATACTTGTGACAAGGGCAAGCACGTGAGTGAGGGCAGTGTGTAGGCAGTAGTCAGATCAGAGAATCACAGAGCGGTTTGGGTTGGAAGGGACCTGAAAGATCATCCAGTTGGAACCTCCCTGTAACAGGCAAGGACACCTTCCACTAGACCAGGTTGCTCCAAGCCCTGTCCAACCTGGCCTCCCTTGACCTGCTCGTCATGTTGCTGCTGCTGCAGCCCAGGATGCTTAAAGATAATTCTGTGTTCTGTGGTTCCCCTGTTTCTTTTTTAAGACACATGTCAGTCCTGTATCTTGATTGCTGCTTCATGGGTGTCAGTTTGAACTTGGAATTGAGTAGAGAGGCAAAGGTGAAAATGGTTTCTTTTGGTTTTGCTGGTAAAATCTTGGCTTGGTATGTGTGGAGAGAGGAAGTCACAGTTCCTCTGTGCTAAAGAGCACTTCTTTTGAGAAGAACAGAAAACATACAGCAATTGCTAAAAAATGATTTATGAAAGCATTCCATGCTAATTCCTGATTTTAGCTGTATTTTAGCAAACTGATGTGAAGAATATATTCTTTGCATGAAGGTCCAGTGCAAGAAGTCTTGTTTTGCTGCATGCACAGTTTGTGGCATCCTCCTAAGAACTCATCTGCGTTCTTTGGTTTTTGTTTTTTTTTTCTTTTTTTCTTCCCTGGAGTGCAAAGTACAACATAGTGCAGTTTGTCTTCGAATACAGAATACTACAGCATCTGTGAAGACCACAAGATTTCCAGCTGTTTCCTTGGAGATGTTACCACTTGAATTGCAGTTCCCCTGTAGGTTTTATCTGAAACAAAAATGCAGCCAGACGTTCTTCCTCCATTGGAGGATGAACTTGGTTTTGCTAATTGTGGTTTCTAAACAGATTTTTAATTTGGGAACCCACTGCACGATTACATCTCCAACTTATTGCAAACTTTTGACTGCTTCCTAGAGGGAAGCTTGTAAGGGTGTTATGCTTTTTGTGCAGCCTTTGCTTTATATTTTATGTTGAAGAAAATACTTTCTTCAGCAGTATTTTCCAGTCTTGCACTTAATGGCTACATCAGTACTAGTCAACTAAATAGTGCCAGAACATGCAAACTGCATCTTCAGGGAATGGTCCCTGGTCAATGCTGATGCATGTGCTCTACTGGAGGATTGCATGAAGCAGCATTAGTGCTCCTCAGGGCTCCTGCTAGCAAAGTAGCAGAGTGGATGGTTGAATTTCTGTACTATACCAGTTTTTAGGCAGGATATGTCTAAGTGGCAAACTCTCTCATTGAGTTATCCAAAAAGAAATACATGTATTTTTACAAAAGCACAGCATGGAGGGGTTTTGTTACTGTCTAAAGATTAGGGCTAGTCTCTAAGATCAAGTCAAATTAATTCTAATTCTGGTTAGAAATTAGCAGCTCTGGTTAGAAATGAGCAGCAGTCATTGTGGCAGGGTGGTTGGACTTGATGATCTCTAAAGGTCTCTTCCAATCCAAACCATTGAATGATCTTGTGATCATCTGTGGCTGTTCCCTATGTTTAAAGATCCTTTGGTCATCTGTGACTATAACCTACCTGGCCTTTGAATAGGGGCATCTTGTATTGGTTTGTTGCGGAACAGCACATTTCCTGGGGACACAAAATGACTCGTTGCCCCCAGTATTCTGCTACATGCCAGAGCCTTGTCTGCCGCAGCATGCCAGAGCAGAATGTTTTGCATCACTGATCACTGAAGATCATAGAATCCTAGATTCCAACACTCCGTCATGGGCAGGGACACATTCCACTAGACCAGGTTGCTCAGAGGCCCATCCAATCTGGCCTTCAACACTGCCTTGGATGAGGCAGCCACAGTTTCTCTGGGCAGCCTGTGCCAGGGCCCCACTACCCTCACAGAGAAGACTTTTTTTTCCTGTCTTTCCAGATGTGTGAGGCCAGACACCCATCTCCATCTCCTGCAGCTGGCAGGGTCCCTCTCACCCTTTAGGGAATAAATCTGGGGAGCTGGATAAATCTGGTGGGGTCCAGGAGCCTCTGGCTTGGATTGAAGCATGGCTTGTTTGGAAATGTGTTTAACTCCAGCCAGATGAAGGCAGATTCAGATGAAAATAGGTGTGTACAACATCTAAAATAGGCAATACAGTTACAAGTGGTTATGAGAAACAGGAACGAAAGAGAAAGAAAGAAAGGAAGGGAAGGAGGAAGGAAGAAAGGGAAAGAAAGAGAGAGAAAGAAAGGAAGGAAGGGAGGGAGGAAGGAAGAAAGGAAGGAAGGGAAAGAAAGAGAGAGAGAAATGGAGGAAGAAAGCAAGCCACCTCATGACTAATCTGCTATTAGTGAGGTTACACTAGAAACGCCTCGCTCCTGTCCACCTGATTTGCTGCCCATCCTGATCAAGGTAGTATTCAACGTTTCCTGTCATCTCAGGGTATGTCCATTAGAGCCTCACTCATTAGAAACATCTTTCCTCTATGGCAGAGCATGTTAGCTGCCAGAGCAAATTTTCCCTTTGTCCAGACTCCCCAAAGGACTTCAGGCATAATCTTTTCCCCTCTGGCTCTGCTTGCTTTCTCCCCACATATAACCTTGTCAATATTCTTAATTAAACATCATTTCACTTGCCTGCAAGTGCAGATATCCACTTCGTTAGGTCAGGTGTCTGTCTTGCAGTTGCCTGTTTCTTGTTTCAAAAAAGGGCTGAAACTCCATCCCCCTCAGCAGTGAGTCAGTGGCATATTTCAGCATGAAGTGTTCATATTTTTACATTCTCTTATCAGGCAGTACTGTAAAATCACTTGATGCAAACATGTAAATGGGAAACAAGTGAGTAATTCATGATTGCCTCCTGATTAAGATCAGTAGGACCATAATAATCAGATTGGGGTGACTGATCCCAACATCTTTCTCCTAAGCGTACTGCAGCAGCCAGGAATCCACAATCGCATGGCTGTGAACAGAAATTAAAACTAATACCACCTGCTTTCTGTATCTCCATGAGAGAGAAAATTGTTGGTGACTCATCTACCAGTCTGTTGGTGCTGCTTGAGCATGCTGTCTCATGTATTAAGGAAACCGTATTACTCCTGCATTTGCCTTTTGCAGTTAGGGAGAAAACGGAGATTTGGAACTTTCTAAAAGTAAATCTGATGCATCATACAAGTGTTAAAGTCACCTGCAACGAGGAACATTAAGGGGAGAGAAACTGAGCTAACACATAAATCAGAAGTAAGGTTGCAGGGCACATTTGACAGTACTCTGAAGTATTCTAATTTCCTCGTGTAAACAGCCCTTTGGTCACCCTAGAAGTAATAAATTGAGTAATCAGCGTCTCATAGTTCATAGGATGTTGATTCATGGGCTGCCTTGGAGATTGCCAACTGCCAGGGTGTACTCAGGAGACCTTAGGACGAGACTCCAAAATGCTGCTGAAGGATTGATGGAGCTCGGGAGGACTCCCTGGAGTTTTGCTTCCAGCGCTGGTTGGTTATTTTTAGAAATGCCAGTCTTAGTAGCTATTAATAAGAAAAGAAGTGGCCCAAGATAAATGGAAATATGGGAATGTTAATGAATTGACTCTCTGATGTTTGTCTGCTTTAGATTGATGGCCTTTGAAAAAAAATTAATTAGGGGGATTTGGAGGAAGCCAAGGATAAATCTGGAGTAGGGGATTGGTGCTGTGGAATAGCTGCTGTGTACAATCCTCTAGTTCTAATGAGCTTCAGTTTTAAAGGTTTAATAATGTAACAGCTTTGAAAACAGGCTTGATACTGTTAACTGGGATTTCAACACAGGTAGAAACAGGAATATTGTTGTCCTTAAGCAAGGGCATTTCTGCAACAGCCTTCATTCTGCAAGGGTGTTCTGGTTGGAAGCTTTGATATATATATACATATATACCGTAAGATATCTTACAAAGATTTAGTGTGGCCTAACTTCTGCATAGTACAGACCAAAGACTTCCACCTGTCTTGCATCTGTCCCAGCTGAGCATGTTTTGGAAAATGGGAACCTGTCTTGATTCGTTAAGGCTTTTGTGTCTCCACCCACCAGAGCTTTTGTTACAGTGGGCAGGGGAAGATCTAGT